CAATAGACATCTCCGAGAAGTTGTAATCGGTATCTTGGAATCCTTCGAGGCTCAATGGCGTGGATGGCCTATGGCGATGATCACCATCAAAATCGACCCAAATAGTTAGCATCCTGTGCCGGCCTATTCATCCTTCCAAGAGATGCCAGTGCGGATGCATGATTGGTGAGAATTGGCGCTGACAGCCAAGCTTGTCCCTGAACGAAGCGCGGGGTGCAACATTCAACGTGATGGGGTCGACCGCAAGCGTGGGATGTGGGCACTGTCCACGGGTCCGAGGCGGACGCCTCCAGCCGCACGGTAGGCATTGTCCGTATTGGTATCAGACATCGTAAGGATTCACGTGTAAGCGATGCTTGTGATAATCTTACTGACGGCAGGACGAGCGGTGAGTAACAGCCTCAACAACGAGGGAAACACCGTTTTCCAAGGTTGTTGACAGAAACGTGTATTCAACACGCATTGCTTCGCCCAGAACACTTTCAAAGGCTATGCAAGCCACTCAAGTTGCATACCTATGTATGAGTGCGGTGAGACTCCGGTAATAAGACACGACTTGTCATGCCGTATATGCGTCTGTCTGCGGCAATATCCACACGGAGACGTTGAAGCGTGGAGGCGGGGAGGTGCGCGATAAGGGAAAAAGAAACCACGACGGAATGCGGATGTCACCCGCCAAGCGATCCCTGCCACTGCCAAATCATACATTTCATAAGCTTTTAAAAACCAACCGAGGCTTGATTACAAGGGACCTATCTCAAAAGAAACATATATACATTCTCAAGATAAGGAAATATGCAGGTCCCAACAGAACCCTCCGGCACCATGAAACAGACAGCGGAGAAACCGGAACAGCTCCATAGGAGATCTGCATCCAGGTACCAAGCCACATCATGCAGGGAAGGACCGACCACGTACACCAGACCCAACGTCAAAAAACCGCTGAATGTAAACGCTAAACCGCTCAAAAAGCTCCATGTACAGGGAAGATACAATCCATGAGCGCAACACTCATCTAAAGCGCCCAACTGCCTTTCCTAACGGCGGTTCCACGCCCCCCAGCCATGAATTCATCTTCAGCCATGTGGGGGTGTTGCCTTGCCCATTCCTGGATATAGATGCGTAAGGCGCGCCAGCGCATGCACGTCTCCTCGGTAATCTGGGTGTCCTTCAAATTGCCGTCGTTACCTAGACGAATGTAGCCACGGGATGAGGCAAGGTGATCGTCTTGCCTCAACTCGGAAATGGGAATGTGCGAAATCTTTGAAAGCTCTTCATCGAACGGACGTGCCATTGATGGATAACCGAGTGACAGGTAATTGTACACTTGGGTGACAAAGTTGTCACCGAATTCTTCTTCGATGGACTGCTCGACAGCGAGCTTCTCATCGATGCCCGAGAAGTCTGTTTGCCCAAAAGTGATGCCGGAGCTCGATGCCGGAGGCGTAGGTGGTAAGAGGCTCGTAGAGGGCGTTGGACAAGGCGACATGGGGTTTGGCTTCTCATTGTGGGGTGTGAGTAGACCGGCTGGCCCGCGTGGGGACTTGTCTCCACCGTTGACGCAAAATCCACCCCACAATCCGTGCGTGCTCGAAGCTCGGCTGTTGGCATTGGACCACAATGATGGTGTTGTACTTGTTTGCCTGCCGTTGCCTTTTCCACACCATAAGCTTTCTCCTGTTTCAGACGCGGCCTTGGACTGCTCAGAGAGATAGCACATAGCCGTCCGGACCGCATCGCATCCTTGAGTAGGGTCAAAACGAGATGGCTCCGGTGATGCACATCGCGGGAATTTGATGTCCTGTCCAAGCATGGGAGGTCGGGCTTCTTTGCGCTGACGCTCTAATTCGGGGTCTTTTCGCTCTTTCGCAAACTTCTTGGCCGTAGCAGCATCCAGAAAGCCGGCTGGGTTTCCAAATGGACTGAAAGCAGGCTTGACATACTCCTTCTGCTTCTGCTCCTCTTTACCGGCTTTCTGCTTCTCTTGATACTCACGCATGGCAATTAAATCCCAATTAACCTGCGTGAAGGACGGTTCTCGCTGCGGCTTCGCCTCAGTGACTGATGGCTCTGAGCCTTCTGTATCATGATCCACGTAATGAGCCACGGGTTCGTGGAAGTCGCTGTTCGGGAATGCGGCCAAGGCCTGTTCCCGAAGCTGTTTCTCTGCAGCCTTAGCAGCCAACTCAAGTAGGTAGCCAGCAGAACTGTCGTCAACACTTTCTCGTCGTCGAGTAGCTTCTTTGTACATAAACGAATGGTCTGAAATATAAGGTGGCGACTCGGTCGGCGATGGCGGCGCAGATGCTTCAGACTCGGAAGACTCAATCGGGTCTAAGTCAGGAACACGGAACGAGTGTTGCGAGCAGCTAAAGTACGACCGGCGTCTACACGGTGAGGCGTTGCGTTGTATCTCCAAAAACAAAGGGTTCTGTTTGATATCAAAAGTCGGTGTGTTTGTTGGCGGTGTGGGAGGGATTCCCAGTATCCTTGCTTTCCGGGCACTTATTGCAGAGTCCGGGGTCGCCTCAGTCTTGTCGGACGGTTGTATTGCGGGAGTGTCGTCCCCAGCCTTGCGATGTCTTTGGGCAGTCTCGATCAATTGCGGTCGAAATTTCTTGGTAGGCAGTTTTAGAGAAGCCCTGTACTGGCTACTGTAGCTTGAAGCCGCTTCCATAGGATCCGCTTTGAACTTCCCGGTGGGGGATGTTTGCTCTTCCCAGTCCTTGGCAAACTTCTGACGACTGCTTCGTGTGGTCGTCTCCAAGGGCTCGGGAGCAAAGCGACGGTTGGACTTCTTGGTAGTCTCAACGGGCTCGGGCGCAAACCTACGGCTAGACTTGGAACTTGATTTTGTCGTCTCTATTGGCTGTGGTGCAAACCTCCGTGGCTTCGGCCTCTCGGCCTGCTGTGCCGGAGCTTTGTCCTGCTCTGCCGCAGCCTTGTCCTTGGAGGACGAGACAGTTGTCTCGATGGGCTCGACCTTGAAACGCCTGGGAGGAGCTGCTGACGCCATCTTTAAGTATTTCCAGCACTTGAAGGGAGCTCCCTGATGCTATACTTATACAGGCAATCGGATATATGACTAACGGTGTCTTCGCCAATCGCAAGACTATGCGGTCGCCCGGGTAGACTAGTGGCAGAGGCCTAGTATCTGGGGAGGTGCGGAACCGAAGCGGGGAATTTACTCGGAATATTTCGGAGGCATGTAACTGCGTAGGGGCGCTGTTGAGCGTGACAGCGACGGTGCGGACAATGCTCGGTGCAAAAGTAAGCACACGCAAGCCCCGCTGGCGGTATGTTGTGGTGGAAACGCTGGGATGGAGGGTGCAGCCGATGCTGGCTAGTTGGGGGCAGGGAATTGTCTACGGCGGTCGATTCGGAGGCGCGTAGGGCTCAAGGGTGCTCGTGTGGTCTTGGAGCATGTCAGTCGCGTGCCATTTTGCTTCTGGGCGTCTCCCACGCCCGGGCTCAACTTACTGGACCCCGTATCGCAGTTCCCACACGGCCAAGGGTTTGTCGAAGTGCGGAAAGCGTCTGAAGGAGAGGTTGCCGAGAAACATGTGAATGGCACAGTGTCTAGTAGCTGGCGCTGGCGTGTGTGGTGCAGGATGACGTATGGTGGAGCGACTGCTAGGGACAGCCCAGAGCTACCGCGGGGGTTTGCGGGTTTGGGAATGCGTGGGCGTGCACTGGTGGTGAGGGCCGTTGGTTATATCCAGGGCGGTCGCGGTCGTGTTCAGTCGTGGGCGCAGCTCGTTGGACGACAGGGTTGAGTTTCCAGCGTCTTGTTGAGGTTCGAGAGCTGGTCGGAGCGCCCTAGGAGTCTAGGACCAGCATCATCGAGGCCCTTAAATTGTCTTATCAATGCGTGCACCGCTATTGACACACGAGATATCCCTTGGACTTGGACTAAATGGGCTGTGGCAGAAAGTTCTAGGGCTCCATGGCTGTCGACCAGCTGCCCGATGACCAGCCTCGTGGGCGGAGCGGTCAATCAGTGGAGTCAGCACTCTGCACCCGACCGCATCTTCGGCACGTTAATTCGTTCCAGCATGCACGGTGCGAACGTGCAGCAGCCGTGTGGGTCTGCGATGAGAACTAGACAATTCCATGTCGAGCATCGGGGATCGACAAATGGCATGCGCTACTCCACGACTCCAGACTCCGCGCCCGCTTGCTGATCGAGAATGACTACAGTCTTTGGGGATTTCAGAAAGTCTGATCAGGCCTTTGCCTCGCAGTGAAAGCTATGCGGCATTTTGTGTGGAAATTAATGCTTTATTTACGGAAACCCTAGCCACGTACTGGTCTCCGCTGAGAAGAGCCCACAGAAGGTCATGGCGGCATCGTGTATTCCCGAATGCGGCCGCTGAGGCAGGAATCTTTCCATGTGTGCGTAGCCATAATGGCATAATTCATCACAATTCCACGACACAATTGCAGCATGCACATGCGCCTTCCGTTTACCGGCGTCGTGCTCAGAAAGCATACTTCGAGTTTAATCTGGTGCTGACCATCAGACGTTGTGAGGAGTGATCGGGCAGGTGCGGGCGATTTCGGGTGGCTTTTGCAGTTGACACATGCAGCATGAACGACGGTTACCGTAACCAAAATTAGAAAAATATACCACGACTCCACTTCGTGAGAGTACTCCTATCTTATTTTTGCTTTGTTCGCCCCGCTACGCCTGTATCGCTTTCCGCTTCACATTGGCCATGCATCTGGCTAAAGACTCACGACCACGTTTCTTTCCACTTATACAACTATTGGATACAGCTACTAACACAGTTCTATCAAACGCCAAAAGAAATACTCCATAGGTCAACTCGCTACACAACAATGAAATACAATCTGACTATCCGTCCCGAATACTGGAAGATAGGTACCTAGGTAATCTGAATGTCCATTCCGAAAAGCGCGCGCCTGAACTCCTACCACCAACCACCAATCAACAACCAACAAAAGCCTTCCAGTTGAACCGAATCCTACCGCCCAAACTATGGCGGCGAGATGTATCCATAAGCCGGCGAATACCCGTTCCACGACTGCTCCACCAGATACCAGAGGGGCGAGCGATCCGGCATGACAAGGTGACTCGCTGGGTCTCCGCGGCAATGCTCGTACTGGGGGCTGAGACGCAGCGGCGACTGCAGAAAAAAGTACTCAATAGGCAACGGCGTGGCAACCGGCATGCTGTGGGCAACCCAATAAAGAACACCCGGGTCGGGTGATCGGCTTCGAGCGCTGCCGCCGGCAGATGCTACTGGACTGTGGTCGATTGTGGCACAGGGTTCGACGACCATGCTGTCGGACATGGCGGCACAGTCTTGGACCGTATCTGTGGGGTTTAGGTCTGAAGAGTGTGTCGTGGCATCGTCTGCATCTTGGAAAACTCTGATATCCTCATCGTGGGACGCCGTCATCAAGTACGGTTCTTCGTCTGCATCAACGGCTGTCTCGTCGTCGCTCACTCCGCCACCTTCGTCGTCGCTGGCCTTCTCGCACCCTTCTCCGCAGTCGTAGCCACAATTTCTCCATTTGAATTGGGGCGGTCTATCAGAGGATGGGCTATCTAGAGCCGGCTGGTGGGAGGGGTCGTTCGGATCATCGTGGTCGTACATCGTGGCGCCAGTAAGAAGATCGAGCAGTCTTTCCTGGAGGCATGTTAGTTGACCTTACGTGGCATGGGTCCACATACTCAGCACCATTGCCGTATAAGGTGTGGACGTAGGTAACGTTGACTCATTGCATACATATAGAGAAGCAACGTATCTTACCTTGACAGCTCAATGAGAAGGAACAAGAACGGCTAGCGATAGAAGACAGCGCTGGATGTCACAAGATGAGAATCGTTTCAGCAAAAGTAATGGTATACAAGCTAATAATACAGATCAAGACACCTCCAGATTGACAAACGCTGGAGAAGGGACCGAAAACAACAACTACAACACATCCCTCCAAGTCTTTATACACACAGTACACGAGCGATCATCGGCCAGCCAGAATATACGACAGAACGAAAGGGAGTCATAACTGCCTCCGCGACAGACACGTTGCCCGCCCCCAAGCCTGAGTCGGTCACCTACCTGGCTCCAACAACCCATCACTGGACCTCCTTCCCCGCATTTATCGCAACCGAGATCACACCAGTACTCTGAAGGACCAACATCCTCCGCTCATCTATTACCGTATCCCGACACCGGCCAGCGTGCTCATAACCTGGAGTAGTCAACAGTACCCTCGAGTAACCACGCGACGGAAGGATAGCATAGGCTACGTCCAAGACGCGCTGGTAAAAGCCCGAAGGTAGCCGGCATGTAGAGTGTTCTGCCTGATGACGGCATGGGGACTTTGTTTTGGGGAGAACGCGTCGCGTGTGCGTGTCCGAGATGGGCTCACCGGAGGCCGCCTACATGGGCGTTGGAAGTGGGGTAAAAAGCCACCGGTCAACACCGAGAGCGATTGTAGACCAAGGAGTTAGCTATGACTCTGGTGAGATTGGTCGCTTCGTTTTGGCATGGTGCGGACCTATGTCACTGTGTATAACGGATATTTGAGGTCGTGTTAAGCAATACTGCCGCCTTTAACCTCGCCAGTCGGGAGATTTTGTTACTGGTGGATGGATTTAGAAAGGAGATCTAATTGTCTCATGATACTTTGGATATTTCCTGATATTCACTTTTTATCAAGGTCATGGTGTAGCGCGCCAATGTATATGCTTCTAAATTGCCGTGCATTCGCCTCCGCGTGCCGGGTTCTCGATCCAACCATGACGTCTTCTCCCGTCACTCGATGCCCTTCCTCTCCACTTTGCTCATTTGTTATGCCAAAGTAATGTCCGTAACGAGTTCCAATCGTCCGACTGAACATAACTGTCCACACGTTAGCGTAATCCCATATGCTTTCAGCTTCAAGAGATACCCACATATAACTCATACTGCTCCTCAAACTGCTCTGCACAGCCTCAGGATGCCACCTGAAAATATACATAACCATCGCCCAACTCAGACTGGCAAAAACCGGCCATCCGTTCTTCGCCATCGTTCTCCTCATCTCGCCATTACCGAACAGCTCCCATCCACCACCTCCTCCTTGAACTCCTTGTCCACTAGCTCCGCCTCCGACCTGTCGTGGTTGTACTGCCAGCTTTGCCAGCGCTAACAATACGCGTGCAGCTACGTATATGACGATTTGCTGAGACACGGAATTGTGAATTGTGCGACCAAAGACGGTGTAGCCGCCTAGAAGGCCGGCGAGGAAGGAATCGTAGTGTCGCTCTTTGCCGGTCGGGGACGCGTGTCGGAGGAAGATCATGCAGGATTTGTAGACGAGGGCGAAGAGGCCGAGGTTACGGGCGTGTTGGCGGGTCGCTTTGTAGACGAGCAAGCATTTCGATCGGAAACTGTTTGGCTTTTGTCAGCAAGAACACTCTCTAGTTATGGAGGAGAGAAGAGGTTTGGTAGTAAGGGGAGGTCTACGTACCTTCCAGATCTGAAGAGGAAGATCATTCTGCAACCACGCGTCAGCAATCCATCCCTCCATAAACGCACAATCCTGCGAGAACCTACACAAGCGCATGCGGAAAGCGCACTTTACTTCCGTACACAATGCCATTCCTTACACCTTTTACCAGTGTGAGGATATCATGGTACTTTGGGTCTAGCACAATCCTGTCGAGCGCAGCCTATTCGAATCATCAGCTCTCGCGCTGCGAAGATGCGACATCCGAGTTTCTGCAACATACTTCGAGGGCGTGTAATCTATCCATGTTGATCGTATATGTGTGTTATGACCTGGGTGTTGTGTTCTGTCGTTGCTTGCTTGCGTCCGGCGAAGAAGAGCCTCGGTCCAGCGCGCGCGTTGCGATGACGTTTGCCGCTACCTTTTACGGTCGCAGGAACTCTGAAGGAGAAAATCGAAGGAGTGAAGAGAAGAATGGAAGCACAGTGTACGTATCATGAGGCTGGCATGGGGACGAGAGCGAGGTTTGCGGTCGGGTATAGATAGCGCAGAGTCGCAGTCGCGGAATGGCTGCTGGCATCTGATCCTCGGCTCGCGTCACATTGCCGGTCGCTGCTTCCCCACATCCGTGGATTGGTGCGCTAAGAGAAGGAAAGGACAGGGGTGTTTGCGCTTTGACATGTGAAGGTAGAATAATCTGGGAAAAGTTGCATGTGCATGCGTTCTATGACCTAAGACTGCTGCTTCTTTTCTATGCGCTCAATGTAACAATACATGGTATCTCGACGCTCCCGCCTGATGCTATACAAACGCCCCCAAACACCATGATATGCTGCTCGACGAGTTCCGCGCATCCAGCGCGAAATCCCGTAACGGTCCTACTCTACCCGTCGAGTAGGCCATCGCTTCTTCAACTCTTCATATACGGTGAATATGAACGCCGAACTGGGTATGGATCTCGCAACTGTGATACCGCATCCACGGTACATGCCTTTGATACCGTGTTGCTTCCAAACCGCCTTTCCTACAGCGCTGAATGTTGACTTTCCGCCAGTCAATTGCTTGACATCTTCGGTCTGCATTCTCGACTTGATCGTGTCCGCAGGGTAGAACATGAAGTTGTAGGCTCCACCTGCGACAGAACCAGAGGCCATCCGCTGCCAGACGGGAATATCTTCGTCCTTGGCTGAAGTACTGGAGCCCTTGAACAGGATCTTCATGCCTTCATAGCCACCGAACCACGCTGCACCGCCTCCTGTCTCGCGAATCAAGGTTCCAAATTGTCCGTGCCAGTAGCCCTTGAGGCCCTGGTGACGATATATAGAAGCAATGACTCCTCTGATAGTTGGTGCGGCTACAACGCTGCCGGTTGTTTCTAGAGGAACTTGCATTTTGCATTTGACGAGTTCAATCGGTGTTAGGAAGAGTGAGGTGATAGCGCCTGCGACCATTCCGCAAAAGAGCATGCCAGAATAAGGTAGGTCTCGTTCCGGGTGTCTCTTTAATTCAGGATAAAAGCCTGAAGACTTGAGGGCATCGCCAGCCAGACGATACTGCAGATCGCATCAGCTTGATCCCCTTTTACGTTGGCATGCTACTCACACTAAAGAACAATGTGCTCGTCTCTACAGCAGCTCCCACCAGAGGCGCACTGATTCCCCGGTATATTCCAAGGAAGCCATCCTGCTGTAAGGACTTCTTGAAGCAGTCCAGTGGCCCGGTGTAGCGGAGTGGCACCTGGTCGGGCTGTGACTGTAGCCGAACCTTGACCGTGTCGAAGGGGTACTCGATGTACTTTCCGACAATTCCAGCTGCGGATCCACAGAGAACATCCTTCAGGGCCTCTTCGCCCTTTCCTATGGTATGTGCTACAGCAGGGCTCCGGACCTCTTCCATTGTGACTGGGTTGGGCAGCCGGCCTCTTCCCCCCACCACCGACACCGGACTCTCTTGTGCTTCCATGAATGCGGAATGTATGTGGCTCGTCAACGGATATGTGTGATTGTATTGAATGTATGGTTATGAGGCCGAGCGCATGTTGCGTGCGAAGAGTCGTGGGCGGTGAGAGGGCGCGTGGCTACTGTTATGAATCGGAGCCCATGTCAATGATAGAGTACACCGGTAGCGTTTGCGTTATGGCGAGTGGAGGAAGGTTCGGAAGTGTGTAACACGACGAAGAGAGTTTGCTCGAGGGAGCATGTAGCGGGCCGTGTGTGCGACGGGGATGGAGAAGATGATAACGCCCAACGTTGTACCAAACAGGGTCGACCTTTCTTTAGCTAGCCTAGGAAAATTCTGCAGTATCGGAAGAAAGTATTACAGGAGTGGAAAGCGCACAGCGCTTGCTAAGCCAGACCATCTGCATGCGCGAATAAAGTGTGAGCGCAACGAGCAGTTGGGGACGCGCTCCGGCCGCACTTCTGCTGATGCAGCTTATCAGATCAATTCGATCTGATAACATTTGGGTTGGGCGGGATTTGGGGATCCCTGGCTGGCAGCCCGCGCCGGCAAAGTGCGCTAGTTATCGATAATCGGCATTAACTTTTCTCGCGCCGCCGTGTTCTGGGTTCGAGAACTTCTGCGAGATCCACTGGTCGCGCAACACCGCAACCATGTCTGAATCTGTGATAATCGAGGCGCCTCCTGCGACGGAAACTGCCCCTGTCAAGGGCATGAAGAAGAACGGTATGCGACCCTGTGCGTGGTAGTTGCGACATGGCGATCTAACTTTCCCCAGGCAAGCAATGGCATGACAACAAGGGCCCCTTCCGACCAAAGGCTGGCCAGACCTCATGGGAGAAGCGCAGTGAGGAGAGGAAAGCGCTCGCTGCTGTCAAGGCGAAGGAGAAGGAGCTGAAGGATGAGAAGGAGTCTGAGAGACAGGTAGGAAACCACGGCTTTTGGTTACAAATAGACAGGAGCTGACTGTGCAATAGCGACGAGTCGAAGCTATCAAAACCAAGCGCGCCGCCAAAGCAGAACGAGAGCGATTCGCCCAGATGGAGGAGAAGATGCACAAGAAGCGCGTCGAGCGCCTGAAGAGGAGGGAGAAGCGCAACAAGATGCTGAAGTCATGAGCTCGGGTCGGTTAGACTAGAGCCGAAGCATAAAATGCGGTCAAGGAAATGCCGCTTCGGGGGGGATGTTGAAAAGGTGCAGAGGCAGGCGCGACTGCACTGCCTAGAGACCACCGGGAAAGCAAGAGCAACCGGAACCAGCCCAGATAAGTCCAGTCTGTAGAGCGGGATGCGAGCAATGATACCCTATCGAGACTTCCCACAGTGGAAGACGGAGCAAAAAGCAATCATATTAGAACCTTGCCCATGAACGAAGAATTGAAATGTCATTCCCTACTGAAAGTACCATAACCATGGACGTGGAATCACCTATACAGGCAACTTGCAATATAATATCTGCAAAACTGCAATCATCATGACTGTCTAGGCTGTTTCATGACTCTCTTCACATGCGCTTCCCCAGCTGGCTAGCGGAAGGAGACCCCTGCAATGACACGCGAAACTCGGAAGTCGATCTTGGAACCCAGCAGCACCGACAACTGCCTCGTTGCGCCGACCCAACCACCACCATGACATGGACGGCCAGCTTCACCTCCATGCCGGCCTGGCCGACCCCAGGTCTTTCCGTCCCAACCTCTACAGCTCCCGTTCGGCGACGCGCGTGACGACTGACCCCGAGAAGAAGTCGCATTCCCACCTGCACAAGCACAAGTCGTCGCGACACCACCACGACCGTCACGATGACCGGCACCGCCACAGCTCCAGCCGACGCCATGCTGCCAAAGAGGCGATGCAGTCAGCCATCCAGATACAGCCGCCAACTAGCTTCGGAGACCTGCTGAGGCAGGCGCGAGGGAGCAGAGACACGAGCCCCAGTCACAGTCGCAGGGAGAGCGTCGCACCAGGCCAGGCGGATGGGAGCGTGCATGGGAAGGAGGAAAGCACTCCAGGCATCACCATCCCGCCGCGGAGACCAATCCGGCGGGCGGATGTGGAGCTAGAGGCTAAGAGAGTTGAGGCTAGAGAACGGTGCGTCTGCGTCATTCACTATCAACCCCCCATGATGCTCCGTAGCGTTCCCCCAAGATGCCTTCTCTAACATGGCCCGCAGAGACCTTCGTGCGGTTCTCCAGACCCTTTCCGACCAGTCTCTCAAGACGTCGCGCCGGCTAGACGACACCTACTATTCCATCCTCGAGAAGGTCTCCGTATTGCGCCAGACCATCGGAACACTGCAAGAGCTCTCTGGCCTGACCAAGGAGCTCCACGAGAACTTCGAGTCGGACACCACAGAGTTACTGGAGGATGTGACGGGCCAAGTGGAAGCTTTCGATGGCTTCAAGACACAACAGGAGCAAGTGAGCGGATTAGAAGAGCGCATCAAGGCGGGCAAAGAGAAAGCCGATGCACTAACGGCGAGGCTCGAACGAGCGAAAGAGCGTGTCGATGCGAGGGCCAAATCGGAAGCGCAGTGGCAGGCGAAGAACACCCGTATGGCTATCCTCGTAACCTTCTTTGTTTCCGTCCCAACTGACATCACACAGATCGCGTGCGCATATTCTGGGCTATAGTGGGCTTTGTAGCTGCACTCATACTAGCTCTCGTTTTCTTCCGCCCGTCGCAACCGACCGCTAACCCACACGAACCGAAGAACACACTCGATCCTGCGACCAGAGAGGCAATCTTGAATGCCGACATTCCAGACATAGCGAAAGAGGCAATCATAGGGCCGTCATCCAGTACTGCAAGTCCAAAAATGGAGACACCCGAAGCGCAGCCTGTACTAGATGACGATGAGCGACTGCGCGCATTCGACGAGTTGTAATACTTCGAGCTACTTTCCTGCCTACTTTGCTTTCGAACACCAAGATACCCCTGCGATAGTTTTGCCACGTCCAATATCAATCTCCAAATGATCAAGTTCTTTTGGTGTTACCGTCCACATCATCCTAGCCGTCAGGAGACCTATCCACGCCACCCAAGAAAAAAACTGAACAGGTCTGCAGCCCACATCAACTCATAACCCTACAAGATAGGTGACTTAGCGTTAATGTAGGCTCTAGACCTGTTTAGTTTTTTTCTTGTATGAGGTGTATCACTGTTGTTTGACACAGGTATATTCGCGTGCGTTGCAGATCGTCGAACACAGCGTCAGGTGTTACTAGGCAGGACGCCTTGCCAAACCATAGCCAATGGTCAGAATCTGTACAACACCTCAGCCGCTTTTGGCCCCCACCCAGCCGAAGCCACCCAAGCCACTAGGCCAGCGGCCTTTCGCATATGACAATAC